AACATGGAGGACGATTCACTTTTTTTCCAATATTGTATGTCTTGTGAAAATAAAGAAATTGAAATTGTAGCAGAATTTATTCATAAATGTAATATAACATAGAAGGGTGTGATATATGACATAAACAATGGACGCGTATCACAATCACCATTCATGTGCTTATCCATGATGCATATTTATTTGTTCATTTATTTACTTATTTATTTATTTATTATGAAGTGTTAATTTTGTGTGTTGTTATATATACTGTTTTCTGTTGTATTGATATATTGTAAAATTAGTGTTTACTTTGTGTACACTTAACCTTTTATGGGTATGAATGTGTAATAAAGTTCATAAATCTATACCTCAGTGTATAATTTTCTGTATATTACTTTATAATTGTCAACTGGTATTTTAGGCTGGTTTGTTTGCTGCACCCAGTACATTCCAAGGAACAATGCCCGGCATGCAGTCCGGGATAAATTTATCAGGTATCTCAGCACCATCTATAGGTGCTCCCATGCAACCAATGTCTCTAGCTCCTACTCAACCGCTTCTTAACATGTCTTCGCCTGCTTCGTTGCTTGGAGGTAGGTATTGGCTGGGAGTCCTCTTTATAGTCTCTTATGCATAGTCACCTATGGTAAATTAGTCATCTGCACATACATAGCCTCTTTCATGTAGATGTACAGGAAACATATATACAAGTATATAATTACAAAATTATTAGAAGGTATTTCAATATTTTGTAATATAATTTTACTTGGCAATGCTTATTAAAGAATGAAAATTTAATATAAAGTCACAATCTAGGAAAATCATGAAGAATAGGGTACTCCTGATTACTCATGTTAAACAAGGATTTGTTATAATATGACCCTTTTTGAGTTGATCAGACCAGCTGTGATTCCTCCCTCCCCTTCAAACACACCCAAGTCATTTACAGTAAAAATCACACAGAACTCCTTTTACATAATGTCATCATCTATCATGAGCCGAAATCGAATAAAATCATCCATCTATTATACGTTGCATTAGTACACATAATTCAATATATCGATGTTTCTATGCTTTTGCTTATTAGATGTCATTCTTTATTTTAGAAATGATTATGCTGGAAATGTGATCAGTTGATCATTGCTTGTCAAATGACAGATTTCACACTTGCTTCATTTGCTTATTTATGGCATTTATGAATGTTATACAGACAATAGTAATTTGTTTAATTCATGATTATATTCAATATTCAGCCTTTACATTGACTTAATGCAGAAATGTAAGATATAAATGGTTTCATGGAGATGACTATTGTCTTCACCCAATTTCATATTTTTGTAATATTATAGGATTCCAAGGTCAGACAGGTCTATCTGGAGGGCAGGTGGTACAGCCTACTCCTCCAACCACTAACAACCAAACCAAAGCAATGGATGACCTGGATATGTTGGGGAAAGCAATGATGCAGAAAAGTATGCCAGCTGAGGGGAAAATAACTCAACCAGTGTGAGTTCTGTTCTTTGAATGACCAAAGTCTCACAAATATTGAAAATATATGTACATATTCCTTGAATAGTATAGTATTTTTCCATAAGCTTTTGATAGCTTCAAAGATTTTGTGTGGCAATTAAAAATAACATATTAAATTCAATATTGATTTAGATATTGATTATTTATAGAATTTGTATTTAGAATGGTTCAGTTGATAATCTGAAATGTGTATCTTTGAGTCACAAAATAATCTAATAAATCTAATCGCATTCCATAGTGGGTTTAATTATCAATTAACTTTAGATGATAATACATGTACTTGAATATTGAATAACAATTGAACAATGCTTTCATCTATTTTCCAGGCCAGCGCCTAAGGTTCCATTAAACCAAATGCGCATCAATCCCCCACCAGTAAATACAGTAGACCCCCTGCCCAGAACAAACCTAGTGAATCCGATGCCTGTACCAAACACAACTTCAGCACCTCCTTCACTCATGGACCCCTCAAAGCCTTTAAATGCTGGCTTGATAGCAACAGTGTCAACAACACCAGCTACAAATCCTGGTTCAGTGATGGCCACAGGGGGTCTACCCAAGCCCCCAACCCCTACAATATCAAGCCCAGGTGTGGCCTCACCTACAAAAATAACAACAGAGATCAAAGCTCTCACTGATGTGTTTGTTGCCTTAGAGACAATACAACCAGGTAAGTGTGTTCAGATAATAATTGAGCACTGGCCATTTCTTCAAATTTTTAGAAATCTGTCATTGCTTTCACTAAATTTTCTATAAACTGACATGTTTGAAAATACCCTTATATATATACTACACTCTCAACAAAAAACATTTTCTATCTAAATATCAAAATAGTAGGAAAATGAAAGTAGTTCTTAACCAGCTCCAAAGTAGTTGAGTCAACACTGGGAGTGATTCAGCAAGAAAGACAATGTGTTAAATAGTAGAATTACATATGTCTGCCCATCCTTTTAAAAATGGCACTTGTATTCGGATAACACTTGATCTTGGTACTTTTTCTTCTATAAGCTCTTTTAACACAAAAAATGAACAATTCTCATTTCAGGTACAGCTGATCCTGTTCAAGTCTATGATAAAAATAATTTAAAAATAGTTCTTCATATTGGCAAAGACACATGTAGACCAAGGCCTGATGTCATTGTGATGGTGGTCACGACCATTAGCACCAATGCAGTCCCTATAAAAGGCCTTACTTTCCAAGCAGCAGTCCCAAAGGTACGGCTATACACCCCCAAAATGCAATCTGATTTTCGACGCTATTTCCGTTCCAAATTTCGATGCCGTTTCGGCACCAAATGGACTGACTAGTCCGGTAGCAAATTTTGGTGTCGAAAGGTTTCGGTTCCTGAACGGTGTGATTCGAAACGGTGCCGAAACAGTGCCGAATTTTTTCAATGGCTGTGTATAATCTAGATTGTATCTTGAATGGGATCATTTGATACTATTTCATTGTGCTTATGATTATTGGTTGAGATGTTGAGGTTCCTTTTTTGTTTTATGACTATTTATGCTTTTTTTCATTTATTAGCTGTTTTCTCAGTATCCTTTTTGTTTTTCTTCTTTGGATACTGTACCACCCTTGGTATACGCAGCTTACGAAAATTGACCGGTACGGGTCAAAAGCTGGACCGGTACGGGTTAACGGTTTTATTTGAATTTAAAACAGCCATTACTTGCTCAATATTGACTTCCTCGTGTCTAATTTGAAATATATGATGCCTCCCGATGCTTTTAAGTACCCCAATTTTTTACAGATTTTTAAATGGACCAAAACTCTCTAAATGCGCATTTATGCTCTTTTCTCTCGAGGGTGTGTACTTACATATCTGGATGAAATCACTTTCGTCGATCTTATATGGAAAAATTCCACCTTACATGTTTTACTGTACTTCAGCCATAGCAAGAAATGACATGGGAATTGAAACTCTCTTTATATAAAGAAAATTATATGAGTCAATTATGTCACCACCAGAAATGGTCTCCCAACTTTTTTTTTGTGGATGGTGTTTGGCATTCAATGTTTGGGATTACAAATGGTTGGTGGTGAGATTTTGCATGTTAATGCCTTGCATTTGTTTCAGTCAATGAAAGTGAAGTTACAGCCCCCCTCAGCTACAGATCTACCAGCTTACAGTCCTATCTTGCCCCCGGCAGCAATTACTCAAGTTATGCTTTTAGCTAATCCAAATAAGGTAAGAATTGTCAGTTTAATTGTGGTTGCCACATTTAAAATGCAAAATGGAGAGAAAAGTCAAAAATTAGGAAGGAATGGAATTAAAATGATGAAAGTAAACATGTATTTATTTAGTCAACACTTTTTATTATATAAATACATGTGGACTATTAAATAATAAATATACACATATATGAAATTCTAATTTCAGGAAAAGGTTCGATTAAAGTATAAACTCCTGTACAAGTTAGATGAACAGCAAGTGACTGATGTAGGGGATGTGGAGGGCTTTACTGTGCAATAACACACAATATAAAAGTAATATAGGAATAGGCTAGTTGGGATTATACATATACTGGCTACGATTTATGAATTGTGGAGATACTGTATAAGTGGTATTTAATCCGAGTGGTTAATTTTCCAAATGGTCAAATTTCATCATTTTCCTAATTTTAATTTTCCTAATTACAAGAAACCTCCCATTGGATAACATTATGAAGACAATATTTCCGACATTTAATTTTCCGAACCTGGCAAAAATTAGGAAATAGGCAAATTAAATGATTAGGCAAAATTACCACTTATACAGTATGTGAATTGAAGAATACAGACAGAATGCGAATTGGGAATTTACAACATTTGGAGGTTACATGAAATTGAAATCCAAGAAAATACAGGACCTATTGGATTGGATTTTATTGGATACAAAATATAAATACTTTCTATTCTTATTTGTACTTCTTTAAATGTTAATGTAATAATGAGTTCAACTCTAATTATTTGAAATCATTCAATTATTTTACCCAAGGAATAGCAATTGCAATATGTACAAATTGTGGCATCAAGTAACATAACCAAACAATGGATCTGCTATTATAATATATATCTATTATGGCACTTATACAAGAAGTGGTAATATATACATGTAGTTAACATTTCTTGTGACAGGCATACAGTATTTTGCACCGGCATCTCTTGTTACAAATGGTTTAACTTTTGTATTATAAACCAGGTGGTGACATTTGTCATCTTAAAGAGAGAATCAGCTCTAGCAAGCAGCCTAACAAAAAAATTTTAAAATTTTTGAATATTTCTGGCTAATGTCATTCCTTTTCATGTCTACTTGTTAAAAGTCTTCAAAGTCCTTTATTTCAGGAAAACTAAAGATTTCTACAATAATTTATTGTTTTTCTATAAGAATGGTTACCATTCTTATTAGTTTGGGAGAATTGAAACATTTTTCACTCACTTTTGCACTTTGAATCCATTATAACTTCATCAATTTTTAACACATCGTGAATCTTTTTGGAGATATTGTATTTGAGATTGTGAGGAATAGATTGGTAGGTGAATTGTACACGTTGCTTGTAATTTTGTCACCCCCTATAGATCAGATTCTGCCTTTAATGCCTTGTTTTATGTCAACACCAAAAGTGGTGACATATTGCAATAGTCTCTAACTTTTTTATGGATGGATTTTGGAAGTTGGTGTTTGGCATTCGGTGTCTGTAACAAATGGCAGGTAGTGACATTTTGCATGCTAATGCCTTGTTGCTTCGTGTTCTCCTCACATTTTTTGCCAATCGCAAAATGTTCACATTTATGATTTTTAAAGATCTCCATACAAATGAATTTTCAATGAAGTATACAAAGTTTTCTAAACTAGATTAGTGTCGATTTGCTTCAGTGCTGGGGAGACCACTGCTAAGATGATGCTAATATTGTCATGCTTTCTCACAGTCTTACATAGAAGTCAAAATTGTCATATTTAAATGTATCGAATCACGCAACAGTAGAATATTACAAAAATATTGTGACCCAAGAAGAACATTTCACAAAATAATACTTCCTAATCATTTGGATGTGGTTTGGTATAGAATTAAGGAAGGTCAAGTATAACAAATTACCTGGCTCTTACATTAAACCTTTTACTGACATAACAGGCAAACCTGAAAGAATTCCACCTTGACTGTAACTGACAAAAAATGAGTTAATCTCTACAAGGTTAGGATTGGCCCGTTTCTCCGAATGTATTTAAGAAGTATAAAATCTCAGAGATTAGATTGATATAATTGTTTCCATAAATTGTCAAATGAAAATTGTAATTTATGTTGTTTCTGGTCAGATTGATCTTGTGATATTTTTGTTAATTAACTAGGTTAGCATATCATGTTCTCTGTAAAATCCTCAAATCTTACTATTACTCATAGGCAAGAATTCAAATATATTTACAAAATAAAGATTTCATTTTTTGACAGAGAATATGGTATGTGGAATGGGAAGGTATGTTTTTGAATTGTTCTTACTGTTTAAGAAGTGGGAAATTGCTTTTGAAATGTTTCAAAGCAAACTTGCAATGAATAGACCAAATCAATAAATATGTAACATATAGACTTGTACTGCAATGAACAAATATTTAATAAATATGTTTACATAACTGAACTGATCTTTTAAGTTTCAAACACAACATAATGAAATAATAGTAAAAAGCAAAATACTGGCTTGCTCTGCAACGTCAAGAATAATAATTATACAGTCTATTTTTCACTGTTTTTTCACTGTTGATGACAGTGTCAATTACAATTGTTGTGAGTTCAGGACATCATGGATGAAATGTAACAACACAGGGGTTGACATGCTGTCTTTATGGAGTTTTCCTGAGTCTATATCAGCATCTGGACTCAATAATGCACTTGCAACACTGAAAAGCAGCAAGTTGAATATGTTATTTAGAGATATGAATGAAGCTAAATGTACTTTGCATTGACAAAGAAATATCAGAACTCAAGAACATTCATAATGATGTTAATAAAAGGTATTGAGGTAAGTGTTACATGTCAAAAAATCAACCAGAAATCTTAGTATTTTTCATGAGATACAAAGTGGAACAGAGGATGCTAAGGTTAAGGTCAGGGTGCACTTTGATGAAATTTCATGACCATGAGCTATTTTCAGATAAACATAACTCATTCCACATATTATCTACATCTTTCATTCTTGCACAAAAGATGCATTAGAGTACCCAGACTATTGATTGAGGGTTGATAATTCTTCATAATGTTTGAATAACTAGAACATTCAGTGGTTTACTCTTCAAAATTGAACTCTGGCCTTAAGCTATTTTGTTTTACTTGCTCTGACCAACCTCAAAATACTGAAGAATTAACCACAATGATATGACACTCAGACGATGATAAAGTCCCTTACTTTGGCACCTTCAGTAAGTTAACTAGCTCAGTAGTTCTTGCATGTAGGACGCTAGCATGGTCAGCAGGTACATGAAGACACACTTGTTGCTCTAGCTTTGTGAGACACAGTAACACACGGGGTATCAAATCCTGTGACCTTGAGGCTAACTGTAAGAGATTGTGGACACCATAGGTTAGTCTACATTTTGACATTTACAAAATCATGGATATACAAATTGGGAAAATTGTATATGTAAGAGATTATATACATATGGTTATTACTTTCATGTGCTATATCACTAAATTCTACAGACTAGCACTCTTATTTAGTGGGACAGGGAACCAGTTTTCATTAGAGGCATTAGAAAAATGAATATTGCCCTAATAGAAATATACACGCAATCGATCTGTTTACATAGTTTACATATGAAAAGCACTGCTGCCATCTTTAAAATCTGAGAGACTATACATGTATAAATCTTCTAATAACCTTAGACATTGCTGTTATCATGACAGTAACCAGTCTACAACTGTGTGGCATCGTGGAGTATTGTGTTGGGAGGGAGCTAGATAATTCATAAGCTATACACTCCAGTGCACTGTAGAAGGAAGAGATCACTTCAGGGAGACACCTAGTATCATACATAGGAGACAGGTATTCTCCAATAACCCATAGCTGAAATAGTAAATACATGCTATTAGCGAGATCAATAGCGTGAAGCATGAAACTCCAAATATCATCAGGACACCATTCTCTTTGATTTAAGAGCCAGAGCCATTTTGTGGTTCACTAGAATGACCAAACAAGTGCAAATACCCCCACCCATCAAGTCCTGGGGGAGGGGGAGCAGGGAAGAATTATTTTTTTGTTTAATTTTTTTTTAATATGATCTAACTTCATTTTGAGTATGTTATTTTTAAGATTGTACAGTCGAAATGTTGAGGCATGCGCAGACCTTTATTTAGTGATATTTTCATTTCAAATATGGCGGCCAATCCGATGTCTGACGACCCTTACAAAGAATCTAGGCAGTTTGCATTTTTACCTCCTGTGAAATAACAAGTGGAATTTAGTAGTTGTTTTGTGTTTTATTATCATTCTGCATCGTAATTCTATGTGATGTGGTGTTGAAATGTCAGCAGAAATACATATCCATACGATAATCGAGTGAATCAGATAACAGATTTTTCGAAAACCCGTCTCGTGCTAAGAGTGTAAAAACTTGTATTAACATGCTCAAAAGTGCCAATGTGCACATCAATGTCAAGCTAAATCAATGTTGTGTCTAAAACAGGTACCCGATCTACTCAAAACAGCTTGTCATTGACGTATACACGCTTAGCAAACACGGCGAAATGACCTGAATCTTGGAATTTCGTTCAAGAGCTAGTAATGTTTGCTCCGGTCTTCGTCATAAGTGTTCATCAGACTTCACGCATGCGCAGGAGAAAAACCATCAACCAATAAGGTTTATAAATCAATTTTGCGCATGCGCCTTACAACGGTAAACAAATTCGTATTTATAAACGAACCAGTTTGAGATAACCCGATATCAGTCGGAGAAATCTGACGATCTACGAAACTCACTTCAAAAAATCAAATGCGGACTGACGGCGTATTCTACTATGTTTGGATCTAAGATTTTCAGTATCGATAAAGTCTTTTATGATCTTTCGAATGAGGTAAGTCTCTAGTTCGAAAGACAATCGTATCAACTTGAACAAAAGTTGAGTTTTGACGAAAAATTTTAACATGCGCAGAAGTCCCATTTTCGTTGTACCATATTGACTGTGTATCAGCATTTCTTATGGATATTCATTGTTAAACCCTGACCATGGGTGACACCCACTTTATCTATACACGTATGTTAAATATACAAGTTAATGAGTCTTCTATTATGAATAGGAAAATTATCTAATTAGGCTGAATAAATGGATAAGATTACTATATGAAATACTAGAAAGATAACGATTTGATCTCATATAATGTCTTGGCTATATTAAAGGGCTACCTTTTCAATATATTATTAATTAAAAGAACTGACAATATTCATGTAAATAAGTTTCTAAAAACCAGACCATGCAATCCACATGCAGTTAGGCTAAGTTCAGATATGTGGAAGTCATGTTTTAAGCCAGAAAATTAAAAAAAATAGTTCCTTGGGTACTGGGCTCACATGGTATTGGTCAGCAAAGAGAAAAGTGAATGATGGCTAAAATGGCAGACAATTAAAAAAGCAGATAATTTTTGCCAATTCTTATCCAAAACTAAACAACATCAACGCCAAAGTGTAGTAAATACCATCGAACAGCCATGGCTGGTATTTTTACAAACAAAGTATATAGCAAAAATGGCAGCCATTTTTCAAAATGGCCACTTTCTACCAAAAGTATCATTAGAAAGTGTGCCATGCTTATAGTATTCACTTTCCAAATATGAACAAAATCACTCCACTACTTTTCCAGTTATAGTAAAATACGTTAAAATGGTGGCCATTTTTCAAAATGGCCGCCTTCTACCAAAAGTGTCATTAGACAGTGTGCCATACTTATAGTATTCACATACCAAATATGAACAAAATCGCTCCACTACTTTTCCAGTTACAGTAAAATTCGTTAAAATGGTGGCCATTTTTCAAAATGGCCGCCTTCTACCAAAAGTGTCATCAGACAGTGTGCCATGTTTATAGTTTTCACATACCAAATATGAACAAAATCGTTCCACTTCTTTTCAAGTTACAGCAAAAATCGTAAAATAACGAGTAAAGGCCACCATTTTTCAAGATGGCTGCTATATGCTTCTTTAATATCTACATTTCTAGCTTTATTAATGTCCTATATAATTTTTTACATTTAAAACATATTGCTATTACAGTTTCACATATTGCACCTAAATAACTGTAAAATCGGCACTAAAATGGCTGCCATTTTTAAATGAGCAACCATTTTGACAACTGCCTTATGAGAAGAACTTCTACCCCCATAGGGTATATGTATACAAAATATGAACAAAATCGGGCCAACTGTATTTGAGTTATTGCCCGGACCGACGGACTGACAGACAGACAGACAGACGGACGGACGGATGGATGGACAGACAGACAGACAGATGGACAAGTGAGTGATTGCAAAAGCTCACCATGTGAGCTAAAAAGAGGGAGCTACAGTTAGAAGAATTCAAATTGTACAAAAATATTCCAGAATCACAATTCTTAATTAAATTATTGAATGAAATGCATGGAGAGATATTTAAGTCACAGGCTTACAATATGAATGAAGAAGTCCTCTTTATCTGAAGCATTCCGCAATGTACTGATAAACTCAAGGATATCTGCTTGTTGGTCTATTAGGATGTTGGGATGTGCTTTAAAAATATTCAGTAAACCTTCAACAAAAATCCTGCAAAACAAAGAACAATGAAAATGTCTAATAAATACATATCATACATTATGTTTTTTATATCAATAATCAAAATTATACATGCTAAAACCATCAAAGTGAATTACAATAGAGTCCGAAAATTGAAAAAGTGACAGATACCTTCTCACATCTTGGTGATATAATGTAGTACCATATAACAACCCTGCCCTCTCTATTAACACCGGCACCAACTCACTGAGTAGACTTGTCTCCCCGCACTCTAATACTGTGTCAAAGTACACTCTAAAACACAAGTATTTATAATATAACAACCCTGCCTTCTCTATTAACACTGGCACCAACTCACTGAGTAGACTTGTCTCCCCACACTCTAATACTGTGTCAAAGTACACTCTAAAACACAAGTATTTATAATATAACAACCATGCCTTCTCTATTAACACTGGCACCAACTCACTGAGTAGACTTGTCTCCCCACACTCTAATACTGTGTCAAAGTACACTCTAAAACACAAGTATTTATAATATAACAACCCTGCCTTCTCTATTAACACTGGCACCAACTCACTGAGTAGACTTGTTTCCCCGCACTCTAATACTGTGTCAAAGTACACTCTAAAACACAAGTATTTATAATATAACAACCATGCCTTCTATATTAACACTGGCACCAACTCACTGAGTAGACTTGTCTCCCCGCACTCTAATACTGTGTCAAAGTACACTCTAAAACACAAGTATTTATAATATCACAATCCTGTCCTCTCTAACACCTGTATCGTCACAGTGACACATTTAAGAACTTGATGGGCACTAAATAAGCAATTTACAAGCAATGCAACAGTGATGAAGTTTTGATCAATCATATGATGCCTCACATCGTCACTATATTGTCTGATAATGAATGGTCAAAGGTCAACGTGCAGTATGGCAAGTGATTTTAGACAGTCATGTCTTTCACCATGAGAACTTTCTGGGCATAAATACGGTGGTTTTTATTAAAACAATATGTTTTCTTCCAAGTGAAGTACCCATGATGATACAAATATCAATGGAACATTTTGAAAAATTATGAATAGGGACCCCATGACAACAATTTTTTCAAAATGTTGAACCTATTTACTAAAAAGAGGATCTCCCTTTTCTGATTTTATTGCATGATAAGGTTATTCAAAAAGGGGTCTAAAACTTCTTCTAAAGTAGAATGGTACTGAAAGTCTAGTTTTGAAGATATCAATTTTCGATGACCAAAATTATGCTGAAAACAATGGATAGCACGAGTTTTCCCTATGGGAAAATAACATTGGATATTTTGTTTGTAACATTTCAATACCTATCCCCTTTTCAGAAGTTGTAAATATAGTGTAGAAGAAACTTTCGATATGGTTAAATCGAGAAAAACAAGATCCTCTTTTTAGAAAATAAGCGTAACATATTTTAAAAAGTGCCAAATGGGGTCGTAAAACATAATTTTTCAGAGAGTTGGATTGATATTTAAGTATCACGGGAACTTCACTTGAAAGAAAACATATTGTTTTTATAAAAATCACTGTATTTATGGCCAGAAAGTACTCATGGTGAAAGATATGGTCGTCTAAAATCACTTGCCATACTGCACATGGACCTTTTATTGGCAATGGCTGATGACAAAAATTCTTTCAATTTATTTAGACAGTGAAAAGCAATTGACTTTGGATGTAAAATTTTGTGTTCATATGTTATGGAGATTAAAGTAACATAAGAAGACTGCGAAACAACCATTGGGGTTTATATTTATTCAAATACACCACACTACTTTCTTAATCAACATACCTCAACAGGATTGGTATAACTTGGCAGCAGACAGTAACTCTAGGATGTTGGTGAAATTCTTTTAGCATGGAGTGTACAGATCCCAACCTATATAAACAAAAGAGACACTGAACTGAATTCAACAATGTTTTTCTCTTAAACCAATCATTGAAAACATTCTGTAAAAAACACGGTATTTTATGTAATGTTGACTGATTCACAAGAATTTAATGCGAAAATTATTTAGAAATATTTTATATAACTGTTTTTGTTAACATTTTTTTTTTAGTGCAATTGTTTCTTGAGAATGAAATAAAATGTCTTTCTGAACCTTGTTGGAACAAAATAGCATATACATGTTTTTAGACCTCTCAATATTATAGTTATACAAAGGAATTTTTGGTTGATTTTAAAAAAGTATTCAAAAAATTAAAACAAAATCCCCCCAAAGTAGATAAAAATCAAGATAAACCTTTTATTTCATTAACAATATACTTTTTTAAAATCAACCAAAATTTCCTTTGTACCAATCATCAGAGAGACTGTAGTGTACTTTCCCTGTATCTGTGCTTAATACCTAGAATATAGAAACACACTGTTTAAACACAATTTTTGGTTCATTTGTAGAAAGTATTCAAAAAATTAAAACAAAAAAAACCCAAAATAGATAAAAATCAAGATAAATCTTTTAATTCATTCACAAGATGCTTTTTTAAAATCAACCAAAATTTCCTTTGTACAATTACAATATTGAGAGACCTAAACATGTTGTGTTCATGTCGTTTTGTTCCAATGAGGTTCGGAAAGATGTTTCATTTCACTCTGGAAACATAATACCATGTTTGATGTGTTTTCTAAAACAATATAGATGAAAGTATATATATATATATATATTTCAAATTATATTGTTACCATTCAAAAGATGACCATTAAATTGATGATGTGTTAAATTTTTAGATTTTTTTTATGACTGGTTTAAGAGAAACGTGTGTTCAAAAAGTTCTCCATATCGATACCACTCCTTTAGTGTTTGTTCAATGAAGCAAACAATGTTATGCCTTGGCATTGCTGTTTTATACAATTTTGAACTTCTAAGACCAAATGATTCAATAAATTAACTTTTAACAAGTCAACATCAAGGAATGTAGTACAAAGGCCAACATGATATCCCATTCAGTTTCATCAGACATGTTAGCCTAAAAGTAATAAAAACTATAACACAGGTTTAGAAATAGGTACAAATGGTCCTGCAGGATTTACATGAGTTAATAAATATATCAGGTGTCCAAAAAGTGAATCATTTTTTGACAAATATTTTCTCAGCAATTGATTACTCAAATTTATTGAAAATTTCTATGAAGTAGCATTAGATTACATATTTTGTGAGAATTGATAAATTCAAAAATGCCTGTCAAAAACTCCAATATCAGAGATGCGCAATGTGACCATCACACCGTTTATGCGTGCTATCAACAAGTCAAGTGATAGCATCTTTCAATCACTTTCAGCCTCAAAAGCAGCTTGTTTCTGTGTCAGGTTTATTGATTTATTTCATTGTTCTCTGTTTTAAAAATATGTTCTGTCCAAAATTTCAGTTTTGAGGGACAGCAGTGTGAGTGATAAGTTATGATACAGGGTGTTAAAAAAAAACGCAACCCAAAGAAATCGCTATATCTTGAAAAATACTGGTTCAATTATGTTCATATTTTCAAGAAATAAAGAAGAGACTGTGTATGCATAGCTCCTGTAAATGGTTAGTTGTAAAACATGATGCCTTGGACACCTGCTCAAAAGACAGTTGTACTAGGAAAAAACAAAAAACGCAGTCAGGGGTGACTGCAACCTCAAAAAAATTAAATAACTTTCTAACCATAGTGTTTTGGCTCTTCAAATTTGGCACAAATCATCTTCATTCACTGTATGGTGAATCTGTAGAGTGAAATCAAAATCACTTCAGGGACTTTACAGTCATGGTTGAAATGCTTTCAAACGCCCTGGTTCAGGGAGACTTAAGAAGGCATTTTGACCATGACTGTAAAGTCCCTGGAGTGATTTTGATGAAACTCCACAAATTCATCACACATTGAATGAGGATAATTTGTGCCAAATCTGAAGTGCCAAAACACCATGGTTAGAAAGTTATTTGGTTTTATTGCTGTGGCAGTCACCTCTGACTGCGTTTTCATGTTTTCCTAGAACAACTGTCATTTGAGTAGGTGTCCAAGGCATCATGTTTTACAACTTACTGACAACAGGAGCTATACATACACAGTCTCTTCTTTCTTTTCCTGAAAAAATGAGCATAATTGAATTCAGTACTGTCAACCCCTAAAGATTTTCTTGCGGGACAGATTTTTTAGACTCAGTGCCCAAAATTCGCGGGATTTTGCGGGATATCTACTAAATTCGCGGGATTTCGCGGGACATTTAAGGGATTTGCGTGATTGCGCTAATAGGACAAATTTTTTTTATCAAATTCGCGGGATTTCGCTGGACCATTCGAGGGACAAACACCCTAATTGCGGGACAGTTAACAAGTTTACCACCAAAAACTTCATAGAGGGATAGATTTTTTAGACAAAGTGCCTTAAATTTGCGGGATTTCGCGGGACATCCACCTAAATTTGCAGGATGTCCCGGGACATTCAAGGGATTTGCGTGATTGGGACTAATGTAAAGGCGTGTAAAAGTACTTAAATCAAACTTCCAGATACTGATTTATCAAATATAATGCACCGTTGCATTGTAACTTAAATAAACGTCAACACAATTTCACAAAATACGCATAGGAATATTATTAAACTTTATTGTAATATATCAAAAACAAAAACCATGCTTCAGGTGTGAGTACCGTAATCTAACACGAAATTCCAAAATGATCGGAACAATACTTTGCACTTCTGGCATTGTGACCAACTATGAAACGCTTACTCCCATAATGTTATATATTAAAATGTACCTATACATATACTGTAAGCATGATATGGGGGTTCGATTAATCTGCATCAAATTATAGGGAATGAGGTTACTTTTCTAGATAGGGTTTGCAGAAAAAACCGAGTATCGGATAGTAAATCCTCCATGCTGGGTTCAAACTTGGTACCCGGTCGAAAAAAACGAAACGAAATATACGAATATACAACATAATTAGATCATTAGAAGACGAGTAAGATTTGTTTTGAATTTACAAAAATGTATGTAACTTTCTTCAAAATTGAGCTAGAAGCTTAAAATAAAAAGCATATTTTAAGGCTCTAATTATGTTACATATTTGTATTTTTCGTTTTTTGGGTACCCGTTTTTTTGACCGGGTACCGGGTACCAAGTTTGAACCCAGCATGGAGAATTTACTACCCGGTACCCGGTTTTTTCTACAAACCCTTTCTATATATCAGCGTCCATTTATTGTAACTCGCGTTTGCTAACATTTGCTCAGTTCTGAGATGAAGGCTACAGGGGTAGTAAAAAGGCCAACGTTGGAACTATTTGTGACCTACATCCCTATTTTCGTAATTAAAATGAAAGTTGAACCCTTCCTCTTTATTTTGATACCAATCAACAGCATACTAGGTACTTAAAAAAATTAGGTAAACTTTACTCCTCAAAAGTGCAAAAACTTAGCTTCTTATATAAGATAAGATAATCACAATATAGGGGATTGCAACAATTTCGGAAATTCGCGGAGGTCAAAGCCACATTTGCGGGACTTCGTGGGACATTGCTGGACACGCGAATTAGCCTAATTTTGATCAAATTTGCGGGATAATCCCGCCATTCGCGGGACACTTGACAGCTCTGTTGAATTAGTATTTTCCAAGATATAGTGATTTTCCATTCACGTTTTTCGTATTTTGCTAGTACAACTGTCTTTTGACCAAGTGTCCAAGACATCGTGTTTTACAATTAACTAACAACAAGGGCTATACATACATGTACACAGTCTCTTCTTTCTTTCCTGAAAATATGAACATGATTCAGGCCTGTCAACTAGGGAACACCTAACATGAGTGACTTGGAAATGTTGAACACCTCCCCTTAAAATGTGGGGGGGGGTAGGTACGAAAAATTTCGAACGGAATGCGTGACATATACGTAATTCGCGTGAAAAGTCCGAACGAAATGCGTACATTTTTTTCCGGCGTTCGTATTTTTGCTGTGTAGACGATCTTTTTTAGAAATTTTTCTACAGAAATATTTTGGCGTGACAATTACCAGGTAAAATGCGTATTTGCGTGACATTTTCTGTCACGCAAAAATAACTGGCGTGACTTCGAATTCTTCAGCAAATGCGTGACAAATACGCAAATTGCGGGACAGTTGACAGGCCTGATGATTAGATGAGTATTTTCCAAGATATAGCGATATTCTTGGGTTGCGTTTTTTTTTAACACCCTGTACCTATATTGAAAACTGTTTCAAGGTGAAAGGTTTGGGGGGAAGATGAATCATCAATGAATTAAGGGGAAGAGTTAAGAGTCATGTTACTGTAAAAAGACTTTTGAACAAAAATACAGTTCATCCAACATGCATTAAAGACAGGATAATTATGTAATGGGAGGCAATATCGATGGAAAAATATTCTTATCCTTGAAAATAAATTCTCACAATTAATGGATGTGTACTTCTCTCCATATTTGAGCAGAAAGAACATGAATAACTGATTCACACAGAACCCCTACGATAAGTTAGTAAATATATTATCTCTGAATTTCAGCAAAATTTTCACTCCAATTAGTTCAGTTACCATAGCAACCAATTTTATAAAAATTGTACTTCTCACTAAAAATTTCAGAGTGAATGTATGAACTATTTTCCTGATTCTCGGGATATGATCAAACACATACCAAGAGGGGGAGAAACCCCAGGGTTCAAAGATGACATACGCTTATAATGTAAATCTGTATTGAGATGACATCATCGCTGATTGGTTTAGCGAGTCGATCGTTGATTGGTTTAAAACTAGGTCAATTTGAAAACTTTGAAAATCAAAATGGAGGGTACGTTTTCGACAAAAGGAGGTGCGCAAAGGAGGAAATAGTATGTCATCAATTGAATCATGGGGTTTCCCTCCTCTTCACAAACCCCTAAA